TTTTTAGAATATATATTTTATCTTTTCATTTTATTTCATCATTTATATTATTTTATAACTTATCACATATATCTTATCTCTATTTTACTTATTTATTTATTGATCTTTTATCTTAAAGTTTGTAATTATAATTTAGAGTAGCAAATAAGTTCAAATAGAAACTTATAAAATCTCAAAAATATATAAATATCTCTATTCTGAGACATGAAATAAATATACTTGAATAGTAATAATTTAATTATCTTTAATAATACTTGAGTTATACTTATCTTATAATTTTTTTTTAATTTTTATCTTAATATTTTGCTTTTATTTTATTTTTTCTATCATAATAGATTATATTTTGGTTATTTACAAGTTTTTCTTGTCTGAAAAACTTAGGTAATGGATGTCCTTCACTTAAAATAAGTCAAATATATTTTATTTGATTTAGAAGATTCTTATAAACTTTCTTATATATAAAAACTTAATTTGATATTTATTATCTTAATATTAGAATTTATTACTTCAGTTTTTGCATTTATTGCATTAATATTAATATTTGTTATCTTGATTATAAGTATTTATTGCTTTAGTTTTTGATATCTACCCTTAATTTAGTATTCATGATTATAATTTTATTTTTATATTTTTATTTTATTTTATTTTTATTTTGTATTAATATAATACTTATAAGTATTGATACTAGAAAATCTTTAGGATAATAGTAATCCTCTTTATCTTTATAAATAATTCAATTTTTGCTTTTAAAACTTATTATAAACTATATTTTGATAAAATTTATCTTTCAGAATATAATTTTTAATATTAATATAAGTGATAGTAGAAATATTAATATTTCATCTTCTTAAGATTTCTTGTATAGAGTATCATTTTTCAAGAGTGAAAATTATCTTTATTCTTTTCTCTGGACTTATATAACACTTTATTTCTTTTTATATGTCAAGCTTTAATAATAAAAAGAAAAAAATAGATTAATAATTATTATTATATTATCCAAAAATGATATAATTTTTGATTGTGTCATTTGAAAACAAAATAATATAATATCAAATTTCAAATATTTTTTGAATTTAAAAAAATAATTCATATTAAATTTATAGCATATCAATCTATTATTTATAATTATAATTTGATATTTTTAAATTTGAAAGAGATATAATAATTTAAAAATTATGATTTAAATATTGCATTTTTTTGATTACTACTTTTAGTATAAAAGCTCTTTAAGAGAAGCACAATCTGCTTTATTGCAAAGTAAATATTATTTAATATTATAAATTCACTTAAATCTTTGTTATCATCTCTAGAACTAGTAAAATTAATTGTATTTTGTAACTTTATAAAATTATGAGTCTTGTAAATTAAAAGTTATCTATATATATATAAATTTGCACCAATACAATTATCAAATCAAAAAGTCAAAGTTATTTTAATTTGTAAAAATTTTAATATATTATCTCTTTGACTTTTAGCTACTATTAGATTCTAATCAAGATTGAGATAATACTTTTTTTTTAAAATATCTGAAACTGTTGAAGTTTTCATATCAAATCTTTTGCAATTTCAATATTAGTAAGCGTTGACTAATTTTTTTCATTTTGCAATGTTCCTGCTTATTCAAAATTACGAAGAATACAGTGTGTGACAAAAAAACTTAACTATATTAAATTCATTATAAATTCATGAATATTACATCAAATTTAGTAATTAATATATCATTTAAAAGTAAAAAAGTTATAGAATAAAATTTATTAGACTTAAAAATTAATTTATTTATCTTTGTTTTCAATAATTAACTTACAATAATATTTTATGAAATTATTAAATTATTTAAAATAATTTTTGGAATAGAATCCTATTTTTCTACCAAAAACTTCTTTAAAATATTTAAATTTTTTGATATTTATTTCTTAATATTATTCTTAACAATAGTTCATAAATTGTTTATAAGATTAAAATCAGTTTGAATGGTTTAGATATTGAATAAATATTTTCATTCTAATAATATAATAAGCTATATATCTTTTATTTGTGAGTAATTAATAATATTTTAATAGTGAATTTTGCAAGAATTTATTTAATAAATATAGTAAATAAATCTGTTATTTAATTTTAATTCAATAAAAAATGATATAAATTAAGCTAAAATTGAAGATATTTATTTATTATCTAATATAATTAGCAAATAGTTAAGTTTTTTTGTCACACACTGTAACTTTTACTCTTTATTATTATTATTATTTGTTCATGATCTTTATTAAATTTTCATCTATGCTGGTTAATCTAATCATGTGAGGTATGTGCTGTGCTATTATCATTAATGTTGCAAGTGTCATTACCGTATCATTGCTATTGATGTTGATATTACCATTGCTGTTGCTGTTGCCGTTGCTATTATTGCTTTTGTTATTGTCATTGCTATTGTATTAGAGAAGTATTTGTTATATGGGGTATGTGTCATTGAACTGGAGAAGCTTTCAGCATATGAACCTGCATCATATGAAACTGGCTCTATTAGAACCAAAAATAACTTTAGCAAGCAGGGAAAAAGACTATTTTCAATATGAGCAGAATGGAAAGATATTTGTTGAAAAAAATTCACATGAAAATAACCGGGATATGTAGATGTGCATCATAAAACGTGACATTTTGAGAGAGTCATGAATAATAACCGGATGTGTGTGGGAAGATTTATTTCTAGAGACATGAATAATATCCAGGGCGCTTGTGCAAAGCACGAGAAATTTTAATGTTAATAAATTGTTTTTCATACGATTATAATTTATATCACACATATGCAAACATATAATATCAATATATAGTCTGTTGCAAATAATTTGACACAAAATTCAATCACACGTAGCTTGGTAAAATTTACCAGTTTTTATTTAAATGTAACACTATTTTTTTATACAAAATCTCGGCAATTTGACAAACACCAATCTACAAATACAACGTGAGACAATTTTACATTTTCGGAATAATAGAACGCATTCTGCAAGAGAAATCCACAAGGCAACAAAATTCCAATTCGTTCAATATATAATAATCCCAAAAAAACTCAAACTGGTACCTCTAACCAAAAAAAGGAACCAGCCAGCCAAGAAAAATTACTAATAATTAATTGGACAAAAAATATGGCAGGATCCAACCATTTCTTTGTGTAAGCTGAAAATTGATCTCAAAAAAATGTATATCGATATAAGTCTCATACTCGACTATTTCTAGGCATTTGATGGCTGAGGGATATAAAAAAATCGATAAAAACCCATACCATACAAATGCTAACAGACGATCACAAGCGAGCATGTATAGAATAAACGCAAAAACATCTGAATGACAATTGGAACAATACCGATACTCTTTTATTAATGAAATGGGCTTTTCAGCTTTTCGAGAATACGGTGGAATGGTGATACAAGAGAGATCGACCTAAAAGTGATTTGACTCGTTTACATTGTTTTACAGGAATAATGAATACAGAAATGTGCTCAGTGATCATCTTCCTGAGATTCGCACATTAATGAGACGATGTTGGCGGTTTCAACAAGACAATGATCCGAAGCATAAGAGCTCTCTTACTCGAAAGTTTTTGAAAACAATAACATTCAACTTTTAGACTGGCCGCCTTATAGTCCAGATCTAGATTCCATAGAAAAGTTTTGAGAATAGTTAAAAGAAATGTGGAAAAAAGAATGCCTAAAAATTGTGAGGATTTGAAGCGATTTATAGTAGAAGAGTGAGATAAAATTTCGGCGGATGTTGCTGAAGCATTTAATTGAATCAACGAAACGACGATGTACTCTAGTTATTGAGAATAACGGAGAAAGAATTCCCTATTAAATTTTTTTTTAGTAAATCTAGCTATCAAATGATACATTAATTTGTTGAGTAATAATTAACGTTAATTATTTAAATGCCAAATTATTTGCAACAGACTATGTATATTAATATCTATGTGAGGCATTCAAATTCGGAAACAAAATAAACTATTTGAAAAATATGTATTTAATTCAAAGATACATGTATTTACAGTATTGTTCACTGATCGTTACTAATACTAAATGCACGAACAAATATTTAATAGTATCAAATTTAGATTGAAATTGGGAAACCGATTTACAATTTTTTAATCCCCAACCCTGGCCACTGTTTATATAGGTTTAGCCAGTTTACAGTTTAGAGTGTTTACAAAAATTAGCCGATTTATCACAATAGCCGGTTTATCGAGGTTTAAATTAGATATTTTGATTATATTCTGAAAGTAGATACATTATACTTACCATCTGATTTGCCTAATCTTAGCGTTAATAATTTGTTACGTGAAATGTCTGTGGCAGTTGCGCGTGTGCGCGTGGCTCAGCTGTGCCCCAATCTTATCACACAAACGAAAGATTCGTCAGTTATCATTAATGGCTGATTGAAGAATTACGAAATTACAGCAAGATGAACGAATTTAATGTTACTACGACAATATTACTTTGAGAAATTATATAAAACAAGTAATCAGCATAATTGTAAGATTACTAAAAGATAAAGTGTCTGCCTTGTTGGGTGCAGGAAAAATCAAATACATATAATAGATAAAATAATTGAATACAAGTTAATTTGTTGCATAAACATAACATAACGGATCCCTTCAGGAACATAAGTATGTTGTTAATTATATAATTACATTAGTAAATATTGAAGATGGTGCGCACTTGAAACTATATTAGATTCAAGGAATTGATAAAAAGGGCATCAGATTTCAAACAAACAATGAGATCCAATAGTTTAATTCAATGAATAGTTAATTACATATAATGCAAGAAATAACAACCATAACAAACTAGGAAAAATGAATGCCATTAGCAAAACATTTAAAACCCATTTTTTGATATTGTCAAGAGGAATAGCTTTGCTCTCTACATCAAAATTTTTTATAAGAACATGCTAAAATTAATAAGTATTATAAAAATAAGAACAACACAACATACCGTTGATAAAAAATTCGATTAGAGAGGACCGATCATTGAATCAAATTTCCAAACAAGCGTACAACCAGGCATACTACCATAAGCACCAAACGTTGAAGTAGTTGTTATCATGCATTTAGCACCCACGATATCATTGATTGTATCTATTTCATCTGTATCAGGAAATACCGTGAAATTTGTTATTCTCAAAAGTTTCAATTGAGCGAATTGTTGAAAGATGGACCAATCCGTAAAATCTTCAAAAGGGAAATAAGAAAATTGTATCGAGGTAATTGTATTCTTCTGTGTGCAAAGCGCTGACAATAATGATTTTTGTTGAGTCCCAAGCGAGCCGAAAATCTTGATTGTGGCAAGATTGGTTTGGACGCGTATGAGTGCAATAAGTGTATCAGGACTAAAGTTTATACTGATTTTCAAATGTTTCTATAACAAGATTAAATTCAATTAGGATATATCTATAATGTTGAAATTTATAAAAAAAGATTAATATTTACGATTTTTTGGCATAATAAAATCAACGCAGTCAAAACGTCTCTTCTATGAATATCTTTTCCAGCCAATTTAAGCGTGTCAATCTCTGAAAATAAGGATGCATATTCAAGAGATGACCAAAAAGAAATATCGTTACTACATTTCACTCTCATTATTTTGAACTGATGACCACGAGCTTTGAACATTTCCAACAAAATTTTCATTATAATCTTAGCAGTTTTTCTTTTAGAAAGTGAATTCAGTGTTTCGCAATAATCTACACTTGCACTAATCATTCCACCATAGTCAAACATCAAGCAATACGAAATGTAATCGAACAAAGGCTTTCTCATAATCCCCAAATTAACATACGATCCCTCAAATTCCTCTGAAGCCTTTGGCAAGATGGAGTTTCTTGGCAAATACGGAATCACCTTCAAATAGTTAAGTGACGGTTCGCTAATAGATAATAAGTATGTACGGATTGCATATTTCTTATATCCGGTGCGCCGATAACCGAACGGTGCTTTCCAAAGTATTGGAATTCCGATACGACACCAAGTACGATTCACGAGAATTACAGAAAATAAATCTTTGCAGTTTAACGTCGTAAATATTATCTGTAGAATATCGGAAATCAGATGCACTTCTTTTCCTCTTTTTGACATCGTTTATTGTTATATTATTTATCGACCTTCTCTTTTAGTATTAGTAGATAAAAAAAAATTTGATTGGTCATTAATAATCTACCAAGAAACATAACGATAAGATTTAACGTTAAAGAGAATACTCCTATACTAGGCTTATTACCTGGACCTGGTGTTTAAAATTAGTCTCCGCAATCTGCGCACGCATATTGGCGATTGGTTGCGCAACTATTGTATTTTTTAGAAACAATCTGTACGTGTCATCAATTGAAGCATGTGCTGCGGATTTATTAGACAAACTGCTACATGTATTAAACAATGGTCATTGGAAACTGAATAAGTTGCATTTCGGTACTACAGATCATTAGCATACAATGAGAAATAGAATACAAACAAAACATCAAATCCTAAGTTAAAAAATGCGCACATTATAAAAAGATATGTACTTGCGCAGACAGTTTTTTAAATCAATTTTAAATACTACCTGGACCATATGAGCCAAAATTCATGAAATAAATATTATTTAGCATCTCCCATTGATGAATCAGTTACTTCATGGTCTGGTGTTGGAAAACAGTCAATTAAATTGTTCGTTTAATATCTAGACACTTAGAACCGGATTCTTAACTACATGTATTAAAACCGCAAATGAAATTCAAAAATTTGTACTAAAGTTTTAAAGGAGGATAAGGTAAATAGTTCATTTTTGACTGTAAAGACCTTTAACATAAGTCCAGTCTCTCTAGATGTTAAGTCAACTCGACGTTTTCACCAAAGTACGAGGTAAAACTATTACGCCTAAAAGAACTTAGATATAAACCTCGGTGTAATAACAGAATTCTTCCAGTAAATATTCAATGAAACGTTCCTCAAATCTAATGTACGGCATTTGTGCATCGTATTCGGAGCTTTCAAATTTTAGAGGCTGCTGGCGCCTTAACTGAACAATCAATAGTAACTGTTGCCTTAATTGGCAAATTTAAATCGAAGCAAATTTGCTTATCTAATTTGACTTAGAGAGGTCATGCAGGAGTAAACATTTTAAGTTCTAACTTCGAAATTCTTTTTTAAAAAAACAAATTCAAGTATAAATTTAAACAAATATACTGTATATTGATATTCCATCGTTATCCAATAATTATTTGTTCGATTCGAATTGACGTAAGTTCTGTTCTTCTAACTGTTGCCAAATCTATTAAACATAAGTAATAATAATGAAACAAAATTTTGTAAATTGTTTAAATCAAAGTTCCCCAAATTTGACATCTCCTTTTTCAGCCACACATTTCAAAATGTCGGTCAATCCACTAACAAATTTCTCCATTTTGTAGTCGGAAATTGCCCCCTCTTGATACGTCACCGCGCATCGAAAATTATCACCATATGTTACTACATTAAGGTTGAAAGCTGAACCAATCACCTATGAATTAATTTATTAATATGGGATTACGTATTTTCGCAAATCATTGCTCCAAGATGAACAAAAAAACTTACATATGCACACTGCGAGAAGGTCATATCAGTTATTCCCCATTTTTCTTCTTTTCTCATACCTACATCTGTTTCAGAACTTTTTTCATGCTCCTCGTCATCAGTAACAATCCATCTTCCCAGATTCGATATTTCGCCGGAAGCATTTCTTCCCATTCCATCATTTTCAATTGCAAATCGTCGTCCCTTCAGCCATTTTATCCACTCTTCATAACGTTCTCCCACAAATTTCAGCAACCAGATCTTGTGCATAGCCTCGGGTTTGCTCTTTAGAAAATCTGTTCGCCAATCTCTTGCTATATTCCAAAACCCGGTCTTATGAACCCTTCTCACTAGTGGATTGGCAGTGAATTCGGTTATGTAGATGCCAAATTCATTTGGGGAGATTGGTGGATCCGCGATCGGACGAAGAGAAATCGGTGTTGGGATTCTAAGGGATAAAGTTGATTTTTTCCTGAATTTTGAGTTATTGATGACAGTTACCAGATGTTTGGTGGCAGAAAATAGTACTGCCGCGTATAATGCTGCTTGAATTGTGCTACCTTCATTCTTAGCGTATCCGTATAATTTTTGAAATTCGTCTTTGGTCAGCGCGAATATTTTTACTTTTGTACGATAACTATTCAGAGATCTTGAAGGAATGTCTCCTGCCCAGTATTTATTGTCTGTAACTGCTTGAACGAAAGACGGGATAATAAGATGTGGCGCAACAAGAGGAACTATTTTATGAAGAGGAGGACGAAGTAAGATTCTTTCGTTGATTGGCTGTGGAAGTGGCTTTATCGGCACCTGAATTATTGCTTCTTTTCTGAGTGTATGATCATCAGGTATCGGTGTATTCGAATCCAATAAATCCAAATTTTCATTCAAAAATTTGTAAAATAAATTATGTAACGCATAAGAACTTTGTCCATCCCCAATTCCATGATGATATACAAACAAAACTCCCAGCTCATTCCTCCGCGCCTTATTCAACACAAATACCACACGCCACAGAGGTATATTAAAATTATCCTGGCGAAATCCAATCTCATGTTGCGCCTCGAGTAATCGTTCTAATTCCTGGTCTTCACTCTCATTATTCATCGTCACGAAAGTGACAATCGATGATAAATCTATCATAGGAATATGCACGAATTTCGGTGAATTAGATTTTATACAAAAGAATGCAGCCGAAAGCGCCGGATGTGCCAGAACCAAGGCTCTCAGTGTTCTATAGAGTATTGGCGTTATTTTCGTTCTCACATTTGCAAATGGAATAGACGATAGTTTTGTGTGGGTATAGCGTACGTAGGAGGTGATGTTTGTGTAGTAGTTTAGCGCCTGACGGATTGTGTAATATCGTTCTAGCGGTGAGAGAGGACGAAGCACACGTAGTTGTACATTTGGTGGTGGTGGTGATTCACAAGACATGTTTAATTATTTAAATTATGACGACTGAAAAATCTTCTAATCGTTTAACCGTTCGTTTTGTGAATTTTTGATAGGAAACGAAAAGATAAAAAGCGAGAAGCAAAATAACATACCGCTACGTATTACAAATGATGCTAAATAAATCAAAAAAGTATGTATTCGGGATATAAAGTACATACACATTGTATACCGATACGTAATTTGTGATACATTTGTGTTTACCCGTTGGATCATATTATACACATGTTCAGTACATGTGTATAACAAATATTCTGATTTCTATCGTTGACCTTTAACGTTAAAATCACCTTACAAAATTTTTTTCAAGGAAAAAATTTTATTAATTTAACTAGCATATATACATTGTGGACCATCCTTTATTTTAATGCACACCTTTAATTCTTTTCATCATATTTTCAATTAATTGGAAGTTTATGCCATTCTTAATACATGTATAAAGAAGATTTTTGACATATAGGAATGCTCTATCGGATTAAGGTCAGACGATTGAAATAGTCATTCAGAGAAATTTCATTAATCCAATTCTTAATATATGTATGGGACATTATCAAAAATTCAAAAATGTTAGCAAAAAAGAGTTTTGCTTTGTTAAAGAAGAATATTGCATTGTAAAAATGCTCAACTCATATCTGCTACAAAAATCTTAAGGTAGAATGTTTTTAATAATGTTACACAATATATTTAATAGTATTGTTGGCGTTGCAATATATATACAGTACATGTATCATTATTATATCATAACATCAAAAATTATTTGCACATCAAATTCTTGCCATTACTTTTTAAATACTACTTATAATTCTATATACTATCAGACTCTGAAAGTCATATTTAGAAGAACAAAAATTCATAATTATTAGAGATCATACTTTCTTGAAATATATCAAAATACAATATAATCTTTTTAAGAAATAGGCTTACTGATTAGAAATATTACAAGCTAGTAACTTTGAAGTAAAATACAAATTTGATAAAGATAATATAATCACAGATACACTTTTATATTAATCACATCTAGCAAATATTATAATAGTTATTGCTACTTTAATCAACAAAGAGTTAATCAAAAAATATTATGAAAATAAGAAATATATAAAATCTTGAAGAACTTTAATAATATAGTATCTAAATAATAAGTCTAAGTAAATTATTTTGAATTAAAAAAAGACTTTTTATATTTAAAGAATATTAATTGCTTAGCTATACCTGATAATAAGATATTAAAAACAAAAATTTTATTTGAATTTCATAATGCAATTATAGCAAAATATATTAGATATATGCAGTTATATCTCAACAATTCTATTAATCAAAGATAAATAAAAGTATTTACAAATATATTACTAGTTATAAATCTTGTTAGTATAATAAAAGTAGTAAATAATAACTCTCAGAATCATTTTAATCTCTAAATATAGATAGAAATATATTATTATAAATTTTATAATTCAACTTCTAATTACAAAGTCTGAATAATCAAAATATTCTTTGAAAATATTTTCAAATTATATAACTTATCTGTAATTATAATATCAGATAGAGATGCAAAATTCACAAGTCACTTTTGAAAATTGCTATTTGAATAACTAAATATCAAATTAGTAATATGTATAGTTTTTTATCCACAAATAGATGACCAAATAGAAAAACTTAACAGAATTCTTGAAGAAATACTTAGAATATATATAATATATCAATAAAATAGATGAGATAAAAATCTAACTACTACAGGATTTACTTATAGTAAAAATTCTTTTATTAATTATATATTTTTTAAGTTAGATTATAAATAGATATTTTATATACTTATTAATATTCTGTTATCTTAAAATAATATTATTACTTCATAAATTTCATGAAATATTAAAATTTTATGATTAAAACTATTTAAAATTTGCTATTAAAAGTACAAGAAAAATAGTTAAAATATACAAATCAATATAAAAAATTTAAAGAATTCAATATTAAAAATAAAGTTTTTCTTTTTACTTATAATATAAAAGCTCTAGTTAATAAGCAAAGAATAATTAAAAAGCTTATATTAAAGTATATAGATTTCTTTGAAATTATTACAAAAATATTTTTTATTACTTACAATTATAACTATTACACAATATAAAATTATATCTAGTATTTTATATATTATTATTAAAGAAGTATAATTCAGATAATTATAATTAGAAATAATATAGCAAGTATATAATGCTTATTTGTTATCTATCACAACACATTGCAACTCCAAAATTTTATAAGTTACAACTAGTTATAATTAAATAATAATTAAGAAGCTATCTTTAATTATAATAGATATTAATTATTACTAAAGAAAAATATAAAGTTAAAATATTCTTGATAAAAGAATTTATTATTATAAATTCTAATATCTTGTTAAATAGCTTGGTTATTCTTTTTATAATTCAATATAAGAATCTCTTGAAAATTTAAAAAATATTATAAAGAAAATTAATATCTTTGAAAAATTATATACTTAAATATAATAAGAATATTATACTTTAAGTAAAGAAATATTATTATAGTAAATTTGATAAGTGAGTTTTTACTTGAATTTATCTTAATAATATTAGATTAGAAGAGACTGAATTAAATAATAAATAAAAAAAGAAAAATTAGATTATATTTTTAATACTAATAAAGATTTCTAAGATCTGTATTAATATATATGGATATTATCTTAAAAAGAGATATTTAAAATAATAAAAGAAAATATAGATCAAGAAAATTATAAAAATCAATTAATAAAGTCATTAGTAATTAATATAATCTAGGATTTAAAATAATTAAATAGTAAAATTACTATTAATCAAAGAAGACTATAACTAAAAAAAATAAAACTAAGATAAATAAAAACTAAAGATATGATAGTAGATGTCTTCTTTTTCAAAAATAATAAAACAAATAAAATAAAAGAATATATCTTATTTATAATAAAGATCTTTTACTCTCAAAATAATTGTAAGATTATTTTGTTAATAGTTGTTGTAACAATTTTGATTGGGTTATCTTCCTTTAGATTTCTTTTAGCTTAGATCTTCATTTTGCGCTATCTGTATAACAGATTAGTTTTGTATTACATTTTTAAGAAGATCATTTTCACTCTGAATACACAGATGATCATTATGTATTTAATACATCTAGATTTAGC